ACACCCGAACCGGTCCTGTCCGGTCTGTAGGGATGGTCACTTACCATAGGCAATAACTGCTCCTTGACTCAAAATCTTGTGCAACCCAAACACCAATGAACCTCATGTGCTATTCCAGCGGTTAGTGTTTAGAATTCTGCGAAGCCCATCATACACCTCTCGCCTGCCCTACCCTTGCACTCTGCTTTCCCCCTACCTCACGTCCTGACAAACTTACCTCCTGTCCCTTTCCCTCCGCCCTCTCCTTATGTGCAACTAGGAAATACATACGAATGAGCATCAGGAAGAGTACAGACAAAGTATAAGTTGAAGATTTGAAGAGAAATGAACAGGAGTATGAAGACGAACGACAAACACAAAGACTAAGCATATGCTGAAGACCTGAAGTGAAATGAACAGCTGGAGATCTGAAGGGAAATGAACAGCTGGAGATCTGAAGTGAAATGAACAGGAGTATGAAGATCTGAACTGAAGTGCACCGGAGCATACCTTCCCCTTTACTCTGCCTCTTATTATAACGTGCAAGTGGGCCGTTAAGGCACACGGGGATGTGGGCAGCTGCCGCTCAACCACCATCAACGTGGGCAGCCTTGTACGTGCGAGGCAAAGYGAAAGAGGAGCTGTTGCCCCAAAGAAACCCTAGCTAAACACGGTTCAAAATGGTGCTATTATGATTCGTGCTGCCTGTTTGGGCGGACTCAGTCCGGTTCTACTCATCTGGTTGGAATAGGGGTTGTTGTGGGGGAAGCTTATAACACACACACACACACACACACAGAGTGGATTGTGTCAACTCAAGGGTCTTCACTTTCTGCAANACACACACACAGAGTGGATTGTGTCAACTCAAGGGTCTTCACTTTCTGCAATAGGGTTAAAGCTGCTTCGATTTTGCATCTGGGTGGAATAGGGGCCGTTGTGGTGAAAAATTAACACACACAGACACAACTGACCTTCCCAAACTATAAAGAACCCCACATGCACACACACACACACACACACACACATGCTCCAGGGCTAGACAGCAAAGTGAAATGGAGGATATCTAGCCATGGAGTGACAGAGATGGTGGTGACATGAGTGAGTCGTTTGGGATGAATGGCAGGATCAATGTTGTTGTGCTTGTGTAGTTAATTTTATAATTAATTTTATTGTTTTGTGGACTGATTCGGAGGGCTGTCCAAGTTTCCTCGGACCTTTGGGGGATTGGGTTGGTGCTCGTGGAGTCTTCTGTTTTAGTTAAGTTGTGTTCCGCCGTCCATCCCTTTATGGACTATGAAATATATGTGTAAGTGTGCCGCTTTGGCGGCAGACAGGTGTGTGGGCACTTGGCGCTGAACCACGTGTATATACTAGTCGTCAAACAGTTCTGCCCGGTAAACCGTAGGCAGAGAGGGAGAAGAGGACAACAAACGAGGGGCTGTGACAAACTGTTTCGTCGGAGTTTCATATGTATATGTGCAAGTGTGCCGCTTCGGCGGCAGACAGGTGTGTGGGCACTTGGTGCTGAACCACTTGAACGTGGCCAACCTTGCATTTTTTACTATCTTGCCTATCTATGCTTTGTTTTATGGATGGTTTAAGATGATTCGCAGATGGAATGAGAGAGAGAATTTGGGGTTCTGAAAAAAACACACTCCCACATGTAATACACACAAATCTACAAACACATACACACACGACGAAACACGCACAAAACTCAAACGCCGCACTGTAAAACCAAATAAAGAAAAACACCCCTCGTAACACCCCCTCGAGCAATTGCAGCACTATGATGACCGGTGCCCCACCCAGCGGCCCCAGTCTCACCCCCCCAAAGTGCTCGTAATAACAAACAGACATACTGCATACCGACATCGGCCTCACCTTCCCCAATCTATGATCAAAACAATTCACATACTATGTTTATAATTAAAAACACTCACCAAGTGACACCAACCCATAATTGAAAGTTATAAATGAAACCAGAACCTGCTTTTACACATTACAACTGTGCAATGAGCCCAGACGTGATGATACTCGTCAACATTACCAGTCCATATGATTATCAATCTGCTGATGAATGACAAACAATCGCAAATGTGTGTAGATAGAATGAGGTGGGAAATCATGCACAGACGAAGGAGAAAGAGGGGAGAATAGACARAGGAGAGAGAAGAACACRATGCCCTSTCCTGMTTCGGGKCTCTCCTCCTCCTCGCCACCTCAGCAATCAATAGTCCGAACACAAATCTGAAGTCCTCTCTCAATGTGCCACATGGCACGTCAATCTGTCTACATCAGCGAACTGGAGAAT